ACTTTACACAGTTCCTGCCAAGAAAACTTGAATTGCCCTGAAATCATACAGATAATTAATGCTAAAAACTTGACATTTTCCAAATTTGACAATAGTCTTATAAATGACTTTGGGAGTAGTGAGGTGTGAAACTGAAAGAAACTTTTCTAATCTGTCAGTAATCAAAAAAAATTTAATCAGCTCTTCTAGAGGAAAGATGAATTATTTTTTAATTCCCTCTATAGGAAATATTACAAAATCATTATCACTTAAAGATGTTAACAGAGGATATACAAACAAAACAAAACAAAACAATAACAACCATTGATTATGTCATCAAATTAGTAAAGCTTATTTTTCTGGATTCGGGGATCTTTGTGGTATTTGTCAGCTTTTCAAAATTTGTAATTAGTTGTAATTTCTTTTCTCATTCTATATGAATATTCATTATTAAACCTAGCTCTCTTTTTCCTTTTTATTGAATTTATTTGGGTAACACTGGTTAACAAGACCCTAACTATTTTGTATTCATAACTTTGTATTCATTTTCTTAAAAGGTACTCCCAAATTGTATTAGCAACAGGCATTGTAAAACCTGGACCCACCTTTGTACCCACCCCACTCTCTCTCAGGACGGTTTGTATAATGAGCTGTTTTTGTCTTCCTGTAGGAAGTTGACAGAGCTCCCAAAAGGCCTTCTTGTTCTTCCTTTCTTGGAAGAAAGGGGGGCCCACCTTGAAAAGTTAGCTCAAGATGTTGCTTCCGGTGGAGCCAGGCAGGAGTACACCAGTATTCTCTTGTGTCCGCTTATCTAACAGGTGTGGCTGGGTATCTGTATTATCACAGCTTCTGCCTCTCATCTGAGACTATGGTCTGGGCTAGCCACAGGACTGGCTTCGGTAACTGGTTTCTTAGTCTACATGCCCACACATCCAGTGACTGCAGCTCTCCTGGTGGGGTGGGACACATGTCCTACCATCTTAATGAGATTTGTGGTAGCTCTCTTCTAAGTTTTCCCCTTAGCAGAGGCCATCTGTTCAGCCTCCAGTCTCCCATTCCTAGAAACCCTGGCCCCTATATCCTGGTCCCTCGTACCTGGAGCACAAATGGCTCTCAGAGAACTTGGGTCCATGACATCTCTTGCCAGGACACAGGTGCGTTCAGACACTGATTCTCATAAACTCTGAGCTACATTATAAGCATTGGTAGACTGTACTTAATGCTAAATAGTTACAATATATTTTGAATTGAAAGCTAGGGAAAACAGTGGGAAAATTTTGTGTCCCTAAATTTTGAAATTAATTCAAAATTATATACTAAAATAAATGCTAAAAATCTGAAGTGTCCTTAAAAATCCAGAAAATATGTAATTATAGAGCAGTGTAAGTTAGAGGGATTAAGAAGTAAATTGGTAGTTATAAAATAGTCATGGAGATGTAAAGTACAGCATAGGAAATATACTCAATAATCCTATATAACAGTGGTTCTCAACCTTTTGGCCCTTTAAATACTGTTCTTCATGTTGTGACCCAACCATAAAATTATTTTCGTTGCTACTTCATAACTGTAATGTTGCTACTGTTATGAATCGTAATGTAAATATCTGATATGCAGGATGGTCTTAGGTGACCCCTGTGAAAGGGTCATTCGACTGCCAAAGGGGTTGCAACCTCCAGGTTGAGAACCGCTGCTATATAATAAAAGGGTAATATGCAAATTGATCCTAACTAGAATGACTGGTTGCTATGACGTGCACTGACCACCATGGGGAAAATGCTCAACACAGGAGCTGCCCCCTGTGGTCAGTGCACTTCCACGGAAGGGAGCACTGCTCAGCCAGAAGCCGGCTCATGGCTGACCAGTGCAGTGGTGGTGGCGGGAGCCTCTGTGCTAAGGATGTCTGACTAATGACTTAGACCCCTCCCCATGGACCTAAGGGTCCCCAGTGGGCCTAAGCCATTAGTTGGACATCCTGGGATGCCAGAGGATGTCTGTGGTTCTGGATGATGTCCGTTCCGTCTTTTAGTTGTATTTTGGAAGTGGTTGTTCGAGGCAGCAAACTCCGGCATTAACCTATGCCGCCACCTTGGTTTTCTCTTGGGATATCTGACTGCCAGCTTAGGTGGACATCCTCCAAGGGGTCCCAGACTGCGAGAGGATGCAGGCCAGGCTGAGGAACCCCCCAGAGTGCACAAATTTTTCTGCACCAGGCCTCTAGTATTGTAATAACTACATACGGTGCCAGATGGATATTAGACTTATTGGGGCAATCGCTTCATGAAGTATAAATTTAAATGTCTAAGACGGCCCCGGTGAGGTTGAGATGGCCCCTGTGAGGTTGAGACGGCCCCGGTGAAGCTGGGACGGCCCTGGTGAGGCTGAGACGGCCCTGGTGAGGTTGAATCAGCCCTGGTGAAGTTGAGACGGCACTGGTGAGGCTGAAATGGCCCTGGTGAGCTTGCAACAGCCCTGGTGAGGTTGAAACAGCCCCTGTGAGGTTGAGGCGGCCCCTGTGAGGCTGAGATGGCCCTTGTGAGGCTGGGACGGCCCCTGGGAAGCTGAGAAAAATACCACATAAACTCACTCATTTATGGATAATAAGGACCATTATAGACTGATGAACAAAAATGGATACAGAGGCAGAGCAGCATTGAGCAGAATGTCAAGCTACAGTGGGAACCCTGGGGAGGGTTGGGGGAGGTAGGAGATCAACTGAAGGACTTATATGCATGCATATGAGAATAACTAATGGACACAAGACACTAGGGGGTGGGGGAAGCCGGGGGAATGTCAAGGGTGGGGGGAAGGAGACATGTGTAAAACTCTTTGTAATACTTTAAGAAACAAAAAAAAATTTAAATGTCTAATCACTATGTTGTATACATGAAACTAATATAATATTGAATGTCAATTGTAATTAGAAAATTTAAAAAATATTTAAAAAATATAAGAAATAGTTTGTTGGTGTTTTAAATGACCCTAGATTGTTATACATTTTATTTATTTACTAGAGGCCCGGTGCACAAAAATTTGTGCACTGGGGGGGGAGGGGGGCGAAGGGGGTCCCTCAGCCCATCCTGTGCCCTCTCGCAGTCTGGGACCCCTCAGGAGATAATGACCTGCTGGCTTAGGCCTGCTCCTGGGTGGCAGAGGGCAGGCCCAATCCCTAGGTGCACCCCTGGTTGGGCTCAGAGCAGGGCCAATTGGGGAGTTGGGGCACCGCCCCCTGTCATGCATAGAGGAGGGCGGATCGGGAGGTTGCGATGCCACCCCTAGTCAAGCTCAGGGTAGAGCCGATTGGGGGGTTGGGGCACCGCCCTCTGTCACACTCAAGGCAGGGTCGATAGGGAAGTTGCGGCACCACCCCCTGTCAAGCACAGAGCAGGGCCGATCAGGGAGTTGGGGCGTTGCCCCCTGTCATACACAGAGCAGGGCCGATCAGGGGGTTGGGGCTCCGTACCCTGTCACACACAGAGCAGGGCCGATCAGGGGGTTGAGGAGCTCCCCCCTGTCACACACAGAGCGGGGCCGATCAGGAGGTTGAGGAGCTCCCCCCTGTCACTCACAGAGCAGGGCCGATCAGGGGGTTGGGACGCCGCACCCTGTCACACACAGAGCCGCAGGGCGATCAGGGGTTTGGGGAGCTCCCCACTATCAGGCACAGAGCAGGGCTGATCAGGGGGTTGGGGCACCTTCCCCTGTCATGAACAGAGCAGGGCGGATAGGGAGGTTGTGGCCCCGCCCCCTGTCACACACAGAGCCGCAGGGTGATCAGGGGGTTTGGGCGCTGCCCCCTGTCACACTGATCCCGGTGCTGGGATCCTCGTTGCTCCGCTGATCCCAGTGCTGGGAGGCATATTACCCTTTTACTATATAGGATAGAGGCCTGGTGCATGGGTGGGGGCCGGCTGGTTTGCCCTGAAGGGTGTCCTGGATTAGGGTGGGGGTCCCCACTGGGGTGCCTGGCCAGTCTGGGTGAGGGGCTGAGGGCCATTTTCAGGCTGGCGGGCGACTGAAGCTCCCAACCGCTCCTTTTTTTCTTTATTCTGGGCCAGCTTTAGCTCTGAGGCCTCGGCTGCTGAAAGCCGGTTTCTGGCCTTTGTTTTTCCTTCTGTATTTGATACAATGTTGCTGTCAGGCTGGCTGAAGCCCGGCTGACTGAAAGCTAGTTTCTGGGGTTTTGTTTAGCTTCTATATTTGCAACATAGTTGCTTAGAGTTGCAGCTGAGAGGGCGGCAGCGGCAGGCGGGGAACGTTGGAGTCCGCAGTCGCTGGAGCAAGCAAGCCTCCCTGTTCGCTTCAGTGCATGGCTGCCAGCCGCCATCTTGGCTGACAGTTAATTTGCATAAGGATATGCTGATTAGCCAATGGGAAGGGTAGCGGTCATACGCTAATTACCATGTTTCTCTTTTATTAGTGTAGATTTATTTATTTATTTATTTATTTATTTATTTATTTATTTATTTTTCCTGCAGACACCAGGCAATTTTATTATGTAAAATAGAAAACAGCGTTTTAAAACCTCTGTTCCTCAGACCAGTTAATTGCAAATTTCTCTTTAAAATGTTAAGGAACTGAGTGGGGGAAGTTTTATAAAGGAAGGAGCCCAGCAACTGCACACAAATTCCTCCTCACATCCCCGCTGAGTCCCAAAAGGCAATGGCCTGGGTCAGCACCAGGGAACCCCAGGAAGAGCAGTGGCTGGAAGCTAAAGCATCTGAGGAGCAGTTTTCAAAACACCAAGTACTGCGGAGTTAGAGATGCAAGGTAAACACCTTGAGCTTTTCCCAGAAACTGGAAGGACCAAGCCTTAAGAATAAGGACTGTCTCCCAGGACTAAGGCGTATGCCCTAGGAAAAGGGCTAAATCAAAGAGACCCACCTCCACAA